ATGAAATATATTATTAGGTATAATTTTAACTATGCATTAGATCTTTAAACCTAGGAATCCTACCTAAATACAAATTTGTATCATTTGACATACTTATTCCCATTTCCTCCCAATAAGAAATCCTGGGACCTACAGTACTATAAAGTTTGATATAATTCATTTCATTTTATATCCACAATACATAAACAGTGTTATTTAATTTACTTCTTAGTACAGTGTTGAGCATTAGACCTAGAACCTTGAATTCAGTAGGTGAGGATGCTACATCTAAGGTCCATCTCCAGGACTCTAAAATTTTTATGTTGATGCAGTCTCCTTAAAATGCTTGTCTAGTCTGGAACTTGTAGAGTTGCTGCCTCAATTTACCTAATCTGTATGGTTTGGATCATATGCTACCAAGCCTCACAGCACAATTACTTTTCATCTTAAAGAGAATCAGTTAAAAAAAGTAGAAAATATAGAGACCCATACCCTTGTGCTATTATAATCAATTCCAGGTTCTTCCAGTGAGAGAATAAATGAGAACTGGCATTGGAATCATTTCCAAGAACCTCCCATGCAAACATCTCTGAAAGATGTTGGAGATGACACAAAGAGAAAGGCTGCCTTCTACCTTACTGAGAGCCTCTCTGTCTGGCAGGGACCACATTCCACCAGCCCAGGTCCATGTGGGTCAAAGAACTCTCCATGACCACAGCTCTGTCACTCTGTTTTAGTTACTTTTCTCTTGTTGCTGGAACAAAATACCCAACATCCAAAGCTAAAGGAAACTGGTATATTTAGCTTATAGTTTGTGGAGGTTTCAGTACATAATTGGCTGGCTCCAAGGCAGGGTGGTGTGGCAAACAGGGAACCATTCAAGGCAGCATAAGACAGCAAAAAGAAACAAGAGCAAAAAGTGGGGTAACAAGCTTCTTTTTCCCCTTATATTGTTTGCAGGATAGCTGTGCTGAGATGGGCATAGCACTCACTCCATTTCCAAGTCCTCTTCTTGCTCAGGCTCAGGATGTTCCCAAAGTGAAGACACTGACCCCTGCTGATTCACTTAGTCAAACTTCTAAACTTCTTGTGTTGATATAATGAAGCAATATCCTAGAGCAGTGAGGCATGTCTTCTATATCCTATGACTTAGAGCTACTGAATTACTTCATTCAGCTTTTAGGGTTCTCATTTGGGACAATGTATCAACCATTATGCCCTCATCTACTCTCTTCTGTCTATTGCTCAATGTCTGTCGAATTATCATGGATGTAATATTTTTCCTTAATTGAGGAACTGAGATCATGTCATTTCACATGTTTTCATCTGCCATGTTGATTTCCCCAACCATTATAACTGAACTAAACATCTTATCTACTTCATAGTGACCCATATAAGTAGATGAAAGAGGGTTCATGTGACTCCTGTATCACCAAAAATGATCTATAACACAGTCACTACCACTGTTGTATCTAAATTCTTGTGAATAGCTCACAGAAAAATTATGGCACAAATCAGGATGACTTCCCCAGGGGTGCAGCTGAGGTTTCAGTGAATTCTGTGCACTAGGTTCCTTATCCTGATAGATCAACATTTTATTATGGAAAATACAATCTCAAACCAAATGGAAGACTTTTTACACTGTTTATTACACTAATAGATTAGTGGCAACTAATGTAAATCACTGGCCCAGAGTCAGTTCTGAGTTCCTCTTAAATACCTTTTGAAGCAGGAAGTACAAAGCAGGTGGCAGGTTATTATGTGATTCGATATGTACATTGTCAATAAGGTCATTCTGAATAGATTTACTTAAAAGAAATTGTTTACTATAATATAGAAACAATCAGGAAAGAGGGAACGGGGTTTCGTGTGGAGAAAATAGAGTCAACGTGTCCTTAGCCAGTCTGTCCTGGGCCTGAAATCCTTGGAACAAGAAACATCACTAGGTGACTCAGTGTACTATCTAGGAGAAGCAACTGAATGCAGACATTCAGGACTGACTATGTGACAGAGAACATGAGCATAAGCATTTGCATTTTATACAAAATAGCCCTAAGCTTGCTATTCCATAAGTGCGCTGCTACATTATAATTGTGTCTCTGGATTGGTATTAGTGAATGCCATCAAGGTTTACCCCCTCAGGCCTACCTCTTTGGTCCTGCGGCTTTTTTATACCCATATGGAGAAGAACTTGCCTTTCAAGGACTCCTTCTCAGGTGTGCACTGGAGACTGCAGAGATAGCAATCCTCAGGCAGGGTTCTCCTTCCTGGTAATCCTCCGAGGCCTTAAACTATTTTAAGCGTTCAGTTTCCTGTTTAACTTGAAATGAACTTACTTCTCAGTTTCAATTAAGAACTCTAGTTGATAATATCAGATTTCAAATCCTATTTGAATCATTTGGTATAATGTTAAAAGGAGAATTTGGTCTTGGAGCTAGGAAGTAAATGTCTTTAGAAACTGAGAGTAATGGTCTTTAAATTTTAAAAGCCAGGATGAAAAAAAAAATTACAACTGACCCTTTGCAACCAAAACAGACACAAATGATTGCCTTAAAACTATAGAACTGCCTCTATATCTGGCAGGGACCGGAAGCATTTCTGTACCTCATGGTGTGCTAAGTGCTTATGGGCCCTTGGTAAACACTGGTAAGAAGCAAATCTAATTTGTCTTTTATTTTCCAACAAACTTGAGCATCACATGAATGAGATCATGCCTCATTTTCAAAAAGAAGCACTGTCTCACGTAATTATGATACTAATATATAAATTCTTATAATCATACATTCCCACTTCACAAGAATTGAGATAAACAACTCCAACCTTCTGCCATTGTGCAACCCCGGCTTTTAATTCATCAGCACTCAAGAAAACACCAACTGCTCATCAACCTGCTCCTCTCCCCTGTCCAAGAGTATATCTGGTCCGGGAAACTATTGTCCCCAAGAGCAACACAGCAGTCACCAGCTGCTGTATTGTGGATAAGCAAGGCTTTTCCAGTCACTTTTTACATTTTTTCTTTCCATATGTTGTCAAATAGTGACAGGTTCTCTAGAAATGTTCTCTTTTGCAAAGAAATGACCTTTTAAGCAGTGTAAAGATTAGCAAATGAGTTGGCATTTTCTGAGCAGCATTACTGAACTCCAGGTCAAAATTTTAGGTATAAAGCACTCATAGGACTTAACAAGGTAAGTCTCAGTCTGTCTCAAAGAAAATACAAACTTATCCTCTTTCCTTCTGAGGGCCAAAAGGAATTCTATGTATGCAGAGAAATGTCTTCATAGTCTTTATTGTTCTAATTCAGCATAAATGCTTTGAAAGAATGATCAAATTTTCGTTATTAAAAGTAGAATATGTGGAAACCATACAGTATATCTTGTGCAAATTAATATTAAATATACTTTTTCCTTAAACAGGGCCATTACAGATATTGTTGTAATTTGGATTGGTGTTACAGATTAAAAACTGGTGATCAACTTAACACCAGCTGAATTAAATGATAATTGTGCTGAATGTAGATGTTCCACCTGAGGGAAGTTGCCAGCATAAATAGAGATGAGAAGAAGGAGAAGAGAGAACTGTTGAGATGTTGAGGCATTGAGGGTTTCACTGTGTTGCCACTTGACCCCATTGGTTCTATTAGAGAAGCCCTAGTCCTCACATCAAGCATTATTTCCTGGCTCTAGAGGGGAAAATGTGTGCCACTTGCTGTCCAGGATGAACTCCTCATGCTGGCTTCCTGGTATGTAATCAACTGTGCTTATCTTCGGAGGAGCTTATGGCCTCTGTCTCACTGAGGATGGCTGTGGTGCTTTTCAGGACAGCCCTGATCTTTGTAGCAAGTGTGACTTCTCGCCTTTAACTTATGAGCACAACTCCTTCACCTTGCTGACATAGACTTTCTGGCTTCAACTGCTGACCTTTGGGTCTTCCCAGAACAGATCCATAAAATGAACTGGTTGTAGACCTTCTTGTGGACTCTTGATCTTCAGTTGGACTTGTAGGAAGCATTGTCATGAGCTCTGGGTCTTCATCTGGACTCATGCAGGATATTGCTGTGGGATTCAGGCTCTTGACTAAACTTTCTATGTCTTTGGTATTATGGATAGATTTCCTGTAATTTATGTTAACTCTGGGTGACCATCATAAAATAATATTATAAATTTCATGTCCTGATTCTAATTGTTCTCTGCATAATCCCTAACTACAACAATTGGTATATTAAACTTTTCATATAAACTTTGTATACAATATGTTAACATGACATGATCACAATATAAATATTAAGTATTTCTTAAAATATGATTACAGTTAAAGACACATTTTTACTAATCCTCATCCAAACACCCTCTTGTTCTTCAAACACACTTACCCAACAATCCTGCCTATTATGAGCAGCTCTGAAAATCCTCTGCTTGATTGTCTTTATGAGCAATTACAAAAAATGCAGAGTTCTGCTCACTGCTTAAAATCAGTGAAAATCATGATGGGGTATCTCCATCCACTTTCACTACCAGATTCAGCACCATATCTAGCACCAAACAACAAGGAAAGGCTAACATTTTGGGACATAAAGTTGGCCAGACAGCCCAGCAAATCATAGGAAATAGGCCCCAGAGCTTCTTCAGAAGATGGAACAAGGATAGGCAAGTGAATTTAAAGGACAGAGGATATTGTTAATGGGGTTTCTGACCATGTGTTTTTGCTGTAATTTGTATATATTTTTTAAATATACAAAAACCATTTACGAAAGGTTTTCATCACATCCATGTTGTTAAAGTTTCCAAAGCTTTCAGCACTTTCAATTTCACTTCTCCAGGTTAATGGTCTACACAACAATAACCCATGTATGACTGTTATTAAGATGGGATAGAGGAAAAAGTATTAAACACTGTGATCTAGAATACATAATTGTAGTAACAGATACTAAATATATACTTATGGCAGGTTAACTTTAGTTCTAGATATAACATCAATAAATTTCTACAAGGTTCATTTGTGAACATACTGAAGTAAAAATTCATCTACAGTTTAAAAGAGAAGATTCTGTAAATCACTCTTCCCAAGGCTTCAAGCACTTCTTTGTTCCTCAGGCTGTAGATCACAGGGTTGAGCACTGGAGTGAGGATGGTGTAGAAGACAGCAAGGACCTTGTCCTCTGCCGGAGATCGGAGGGACTTTGGGCGGAGATAAGTGTAAGCAAAAGGTACAATGTAGAAAGTCACCACAGTGAGGTGGGCACTGCAGGTGGAATAGGCCTTCTTCCTGCCCACCTGGGAACGCATGCGGTGCACAGCAAGAAAAACTTTCCCATAGGAAAATACAATGATAGTGGAAGGGAACAGGAGAAAGAAGATGGTACTCAAAAAAACTGTATACTCATGGATTCTGGTTGTCCTACAGGCTATAGTCAACATGGCTGGGACATCACAAAAGAAATGATTGATGGTCCTGGACCTACAGTAGGAGATCTGGAGAATGTATACTGTGTGAGCACAGGCATTAATAGCACCTGTTACCCAAGATCCTAGGATCATCAGCACACACACTCTTCTGTTCATGTGGATGGAGTAGTGCAGAGGAAAGCAAATAGCTATGTACCGGTCATAGGCCATGGACATCAGGATCAGTCCTTCTGCACCTGCTATAGTAAGGAAGAAGAAACTTTGGACCCCACACCCAATGAAAGAGATGGACTTGTTTCCAGATAGAAAACTAGAAGCCATCTTGGGGACAGTGGTACAGATGTATATGAGGTCCATGAGGGAAAGTTGACTGAGCAGGACGTACATGGGAGTGTGGAGATGGACGTCCAGGAAGATGAGTAGGACCATGGCCAGGTTGCCAGCCAGGGCCATTAGGAATATGGGGACGATGAGAATGAAGAGGACAAGGCCAACCCTTGATGAGGGGAACAGACCCAGTAAGATGAAGTCAGCAGTGGACTCAGTGTAATTTTCCATGTTTAATTCATATGGATTATCCTAAAGACAGACATAGCATTGAATAAGTATAGAACATTACCAATTTTGACAAATTTCCTAATGTAATTAAATAGTAGTTTATTAATCAATTGTGAAGTTTTTAAATTAAGACTCATTTTGGAAAAGTAAATGCCATTTTCAAGACTACTATATTATTAAAATCTGGTAATGATATAAATGCTTTGTAAGATACCTGAAAAGTCACAAAAATCAATTTTTAATACTTCAATTGGTGTGAATGCTTTAGTGAAACATATTGCTTAAAATGACATCAAATTATGATTTATGTTCAAATTATATTCTTAAAGATACCTGTAAAAGCACTCATTTAACCCTTTCTGCACTGTGTATAAAGTTGAATATGCTCATGCATGATACTGTTTTTAAATATTCACCTTTTCAAAACTATTTCTGCTCTTTCTCAGGGTGAGGACGCATTTCAGAGAAATGCTCACCCTTTCTGATACTCTTTGCCCCAAAACACTCCTTTCCAATTTGCTTTAGTTCAGGTGCCATTGTAATCTCCTTTGCTCAGAAGCCTAGGTCTGTTCTTGGTGTGCACACCTTTTGTATGAAACTGTGATCCTTCAAACTTTTATTTCCAGTGCCGATCATCATTCTGCCTGTTTCTATTCCTTCCTGCAGAGGCAAATGGATAACAGGAATGCTGTAAGATGTTCGGTATTGGTTATCAACTGGAAAATGTAAATCAAAATCAAGAGATAGTGTTAATCTTCCATCATTTTATTTTGAAATTCTGTAGTATCCCTTTAATTTTTTGTTTTAAAACAAATAACTTAGATGTAGTGTAATTAGATTGTACTAACAATATAAAAACAGTCAAACAAAAAAATTAAAATGAGAGCATTGCACATTCGGCAGGAAAATCCTCATTAAAGAAACAAGTGAAAAAGAAAATATATCTTGACTAAGATAGAGAACTCTGACATTTTTGTAAATTTTTGTGAGAAATATAAATATTACAGTCATAGAGAAAATGATAATGACTATTCCAAAATTTGGAAAGTATAGTAATATGATTTACTAACTAATACTAATACTAATATACTAAAAAATAACCACACATTTAAAACAGGAATAAATATTTTTGTATTTATTTATGTGAATATATTTAGTATATTTAGTGATTCTGAAATAAGATGAGTCTACACTGTAATGAAATATAGAAATGAAAAAAATGAAAAAAAATCTTTGAAATATAATTTTTTATGTTCTTTGAAATATAATTCTTGAAAATATAATTTTCCATATAATTGAGAAAGTGTGTGAAAATCATATTACTGCTCAATTAAAATTATTCTTGTGTTTAGTACTTACTTTGGAATCTTGTTGTGTACTACTTGTCAACTGGTTTTACAAGTGTTCAAACAGAACATAAAACAAATATAAATATCTTTTTTAAAAAAATATTGTTCTGAAAAAGCAATGGAAGCATGTGTCTCATTCCCAATGATAAAATGTCTCTTTGAGTTGAATATTTAGAGGAACGACCTCATAATCCTCAAGGTAAAGCAGGTGCATGTTCGCCATCATGTGTAAAATTCTCCTTATGTGGCCTTCTGTGGAAATGCAGTCAATGTGCATCAGTTCATTGCAGTGACCTTTTCTCTATTACTATTCACTCTGTAAAATGAGATGCTGAGAAAGGCCATTTTATAATGCTTGTATTAACACAATACGTATACTTTTCCAGTATAGTAGCAATCCTTAAACCTTCAATATCAGAGACATTCTTGGTCACAAAGAGGCCAAGTGAAAGAGCTGGGAATGAAGAAGCAGTGCCCCCAAGAGCCTGCGTGGAGCAGTTTCCACAGCAGCACAGACCCCCACACTTTGTCCCTTTTGATCAGATGATTTGCAAAGACAGATCTCCACAGTAATGCTGCAATTATTGCATTTGTTCTGATCATTTATAGGGGTGAAATAAGAATATGAACTCACAAAATGGCCCCTTTAATTTCACTTTGCATGTCATTTTCTAAGAAAATCCAGATTTTATGTTTAAAAGTGTCTAAAAGCAATAAATATCAAAGGTATAAATAAGTATTAAATGAATGCATAGTTCTCCAGTCCATGAAATGATCTAAGTACTGTTTTCAGTAATATGAACCATTTTTCTCTTCTCCAGATGCCTCACATACACTGCTGCTCCTAACAAACCCTTAAACTGACTGCTTGGCTTAGGTAGGTCTAAGCACACTAACAATGAAAATTAAGTCAGATTTACAGGCATGGTTTCTACGTTATTGATTCTGCAAAACCACCGTACATCCTCTCACAATTCCATTCATGCCTGCATCTGGCTGTCTATACTTCTAGAGATGTTTTTCACTGTTCTCAGTTCAGGGACTTCACCACATTGCAAAATGAGTTTCTTAGAGTCTCAACTGACAGTATGGGTCTGTGAGGTGAGATCGCACGGTGTATGCAAGAACTCACTTAGGTCTCTTCCTCTGCAAGTGTTTCCACAACATACTCACTGAAGAAGACAAAAAGACTGGATAGGAGTCTAGGATAATTTTCTCACTAGTTATAAATGATCTCATTTTATAGTTGTGTAATATTCATTTCCAGTATTTCTGGTAGTATAAAGAGCCATTTTAGTGGATGACAAAGTCTAAAGTATCCAACAATTATTTTGTATGTTTGTATGTCTCTAAATGATAGATCTCTCTGAAGTTCCACCATGATGCATTGGCATAAATACCTAAGCAGATAAGTAAATGCAAATACACTTCATGAATACATAAATATTCAATAAGTAGGTCTCTTAATTTTTTTGGTTTAGAATGAATTAGTTTTACATTGTATTGAATTGCATCACTAAATGTGAGTTCAGAGTTAAATCTTGGTCTAACTCTAGCCATTAACATTTTGGAAAAGCAAATCCTATTTTTAATATTACTGAGTGTGCAGAGAAGCAACCATGAGTGATTTCAGGCTGCCTCTGAGAAAATGCACAGTGCACAATCAGGGTATGACTTGACCTAAGACAATACTGAACAGCAGCTACAGATCTAGAGTCCCCATCACTAATAGCGCTATCTCCATCTGCGTAATTACTAACACATACTATGACACTTGCTTTCAGGACTGGCTCCAAAGTCAGTTCATATTGTCAGTACCTCATAGCCTCAAATGTCTGTTGTACTGTGGAATGCAAAGTGGAGCAGCTTATCCTTGAACCCATCTTCTGATGTGCTTCTAAAACTAAATTCTTTTACACATATGCCAGAATCTTACTCCCATATGGTAAATCCCACATTGAAAAACTGCTTTTCTTATCTACAATTCTGATCTGCTTTCAAGTTATAAAACAAAATATTCCATAGATACAACTTAGATAACAGAGACTTACTTTGGCTTTGCATTCATTTCAGGATTGCTGCTTCCCAGACAGAAACCACAAAGCTGCAGGCCTTGGAGAAGCAAAGCTTCTCACTGCACAGTGGAAAGGAGCAAGACAGTGCTGGAAAGAGTGTGAGCAGGAGAGGCAGCCTCAAAGACACAGAGCCCCGCCCACCTCTACCCTTTCCTTAGCGCCTGAGAGCAAGTTTAGCTGTGAACATATGTGGATTCATCCGCTGAGCAGTGCATCACACTCAAGATCTCGTCACCTCTGCCAGAGTCTTTGATGAGTTGTTGTGAAAAGTTAAGCTGAACAGTGACGGCTGTCCTCAGTCATGCATGAACAATGTATTTTTTTTTTCAGTTAATATTTTTGAGTATCATCCTAAGAAATGTTTCTGTTAACCTCTCATGCCCCCGCTTGGCATTGCAGAGACCTCCAAGCAGAATGAACTGCACCATGATTCCTCTCCTTCTGTAGCTGTTCCCAGAAGCCTAGGATGGGCTGAGCTCTGGGGAATGTCCAATGAGACCAGGACAGAAGAAGGCCAGTCCCTGAGAAGGCTGCCTGGCCTGAGGCCAAGTGGAGGGCAGATTCCTGACGGGCACCAAAATCCTCTCCAGGCTGGAGGGCCGACGCCATGGGGAAGAGCAGAAAGTCTCCCTCAAAGCATCGCGTGCCGTTCTGCCTCTAATATGCCAGGGCATGTTTCATTTTTATGTTTCAGTATAATAACTGCATATTTATGATTTATTCACATAGATGATTTTAGTTCCAATTTTGCTTTTACTAAAATAAAGTGCACGAAGATGAAATATTTTAATAAAAACACATAGCCACAAATTATTTTTCTTTTTTTTTTTTTGATTGTCCTCTTTTTTTTTTTTTTAATTTAAGAGGAAAAAGAGAAAAACACAAAACAAAACAAAGCAGTGTAAGGTTACACATAATACAGAACTACAAAAAAAAAACATAACAGTAAGAAATCACCTGTTAATAGATTACATAATATCATCTTGGAAATAGTTGCTCAAATCACAGTATCAAAGAATACAAAGTAGACATTCAAACGGAGAGACTGCAAACAGCTGTGTTCAATGATCCAAAAATATTAATATAGTCAGCTATTTAACATCCCTAAACACACTTGTTGTTATATCCGTTAGAGCTCTCTTTTTTTCCCCTCCCTCTCTTTTTTATAACAAAATTTACACATTTTGGATTTTATTACTCCTCAGTTCTCATTACTCTCTTGGGGGGGAGAGAATAAAGTCAAATATGGCAAAACAAAGCTGTAAGTCCAAACCAAGGATAGACATAGCACATGATGTAGAACAGAATACAAGGTCATCAACAATGGTTATCAACATTGTCTCTTGTTTCCTTAAAAGGAATTGTCCATCTCATTAGATATTATAAAGCCGGACAAAACAGTGGAGAACAAGACCAATAAAACTTAGGCATTGTGAACATTACAGGACTTCCAAAGGAGACAATAGTCAAACCAGAATGGGCATCTTTGTGAATCTTATTGCCTTCAAATTAGTTGCCTATACCTTCAAACTTGCTACTATCGCACAGAATGGAACAGAGTCTAATCAGTCAAAAC